ATTTTTGGGTTATATAGTGCCTTCAAACTCAAGTAATTGCTAGTATATATATGAGAGAGAAAGAGAAAAATAGAGAGAGAGAGAGAAATAGTTTTAATATCAGAAAAACCTAAAATTTAGGGGTTTTATAAAGAAATCTATATAATAAAGTAGAACAAAATTTGAATCCAAAAGATAAAGAGAAGTCCAGATCGTTTTGAGATAAAATATAAACACATTCAACGAATAACGTAATCTCAACATAAAAGACAGTTTAGATCATCTCATAAATTTTGATCTAACAGTCTACAGTGAATATTAAATTTTATTTTGCCGCCTAACAACATTTGTTGACTCACGTCTCCCTCTCCAAAATCTTTCAAATCTTTTTCAATCCCATCCAAAACCCAAATTCCATCCATTTTAGCTGCACACACGCGACACCCCCTAAATACTCCAGCCCAAGCCAAACTCTGTCTCTCTCTCCTCTGCGGATAAAGATCCAGGCCCTTATCTTCTTCTCTCTCACTCTTTCTCCTGTACCCCCGGTGTACCTCTGTCTCTCTTTTTCAGAAGACCACCCTACTACCTCTCACTCAACCCACTGCTGTTCAACCAATGGCCAACGACAAACAGTCCAGGTACTTCTCTCTCTCTCCTTACCACTTCTCTTCACACTCTCTCTGTCTCTCATAGCACGCACTCACACACACACACCCTAACATAGCACGCACATACACATACACATTGCACATACACAACTCACACCAGTCGCAAATACAAACGACAACACACACACAAACACACAGCACAACAGAACATCATTCAAGACCCACACACACATCCATAGAGGCGCGCACATATATCACACACACACACACACACATATACACAGACGCACACATTCACACAGTTGAGCACACAACTTTTGGTGTCAATTTTAGATTTTTTGTTAATTTGGGTGTTACTTTTTCATGAAATTGAAATTAGGTGTTAATTTTTCATGAAATTGAATATTACAGTTAGTTTGATACATAATGGGTGTTAATTTCATGAAATAGAGTTTGTAGCTGTTGAGTTGAAATTAAATGTTAGTTGATTTCAATCAAATTGGACGTTGGGTGTTAATCTCATAATGTAATGAAATATTAGGGTTTTTATTGAATGTAAGGGTTTGAAAGTGAATGATAGGTTTATTTTGATAGAAATTGAGTGTTAATTTTGAAATTGGATGTTGAGATGACAGGTTATTGAGTGATAATGTAAATTGACAACTCCGGCGTCCAACCCCAACGGCCTACATATTCCGGCCATCAACAACTTTGACAAAAACTTTAAGGTTTACATTACATTCATTGTTTTTATCATATTTCAATTATTTTTAATTATTTTACTGCAAATAAAATATAATTTGATTTAATGCTAAATGTTCCTTTACAACTGACTGTTTGGTAGTTTTTGAAATTGAAATAAGGTCGAACATAACAAGCAACCTGCTTACCTCAATCAACATATTTATGATACTTAATTTATTTAAATTAACATATTTGATGTGTGTTGCCCTTAGCCATTGAAGAAATTTTGGATGTTTAATTGAGTATTGCTTGTCTACAATTTGTTGGTTGTTGGCTTTCCTATCTTTCTTCCATGTGTTGGTCGATTTCGCAAATTCATTGTTTCCATGTCTCCGAAGTGGGAGTCATTTGTTGTTTTACTATAACTTTTTTTTGGCCTCAATTTTTTACCATGATTAAATGGTTTGTTTTTAAAGCGGGACTACATTTTAATACTGGTGGCAACGAACATGGCACTCTTTGGTCAAAATTTCAATTGGTGAGGATAACATGTGATATCCATTATTGTAAGCCCCTTGTGCTTCATTGTCGTCATTCTTTTTGTTATAGTTGAATTTTTACTTCCATTTATTTGTTTCTTTATAGCTCTGTCGTAAATTTTGTTGTAGTTGAATTTTTATTTTCATTTAATTTTTTTTATAACTACTCTTTCTTTCATTTTATTATTAGTTTGCTTGCTTAAATTGTAATTAACCCAGTTACATATCTATGGCAGCGAGGTGACACATCGACGACCTTCTCCCCTCAATTGCTTAATACTCAATTATCCTCTCGCTCAAGTATGGCCTTCTCTATTGCTTATTCTATTTTAATAGTTTTTATTTTGTAAAAATATTTTTTTATTTCTTTAATTTGGTTTTGGAAGATAATGAGATATGTGATTGAGAACGAGTGGTCTAAAACGTAGTAGTTTGAGTTGGTTATGAAAGACAATGATAGGCGATGAACAATGAGATTTTTGATGCTTTGCCTATTTACTATTTATTTAGCCTACCCTAATTCCCCATCTCGGCTCCTTATTATTTTTTCTTTTCATCTAATGAATGCATGATTTTCTTTTCTATCATCTAGGTGACCACTGGGAAATTGAACCAGTTAAGGACATGGATCCTTTGGCTTACACAAGCTCTTATTGCACACCAATATAGTGGGTATGCATCATTATTGGTAATTAAGAATAGTTTTGTTAGGCCTACATTGTTACTTATGAGTATGCACAAGCAAATCCTTTGTTTGTTATTGTGCAGGGTAGTTGTGGAGATTCACATAATGTAGTTTGTGCACAACATCCGACCCTGAAGTCTGGTGCACAATGTTGCTTGATAGGAACATAATTTTTGCTTTCAAAGAGTTGCACATGGTGGCTTACATTTGAATGTATTATACTGTTGTTGTTGCTAGGTGAATGGGTGTGCTAATTTTTCTAATTGTACAAGTTAAAATATTTACGCATTCAATTAGATTTTTCTATGTAATTTTTGTTTGTGGAATAGGTGGTCGGTTCAAATATATTTGTTATCCACAATAATATGTTTCATATATTATTTTTGTAGCGGTCTTCTAATTTGTATGCCTTTTAATTTTGACTTTTTTTTTGTTACGTAGTGTCTTCAGGTACTGACAATTACTAGTAATCTAATATAGAAAAGAACTAAAATTAAGGAATTTAAAATTTGTTCAAGTTTTAAATTTGGTTGCATATCTCATATTAGAGAGAAAATGAGTTCTAATATAAAAAAAAACTCTATAATTTAGGTATTTTAGTTATCTAAACTTTACCAAAACAATACATTAAACCTAGTTTCTATTGGACATCATGGAAGTATTTTTTTTAACGATAAATCACATGTTTTTGGAATTATGATTCTGGATAAACAAACATTCGTCATATAACACAGTGATGCTACACTATCTATCCACTCTAAAAAATGTTCACTTTTAGAGTCACACCACCCTAGGATCCCATAGAGCATAAACGGGAGTGAGAGTGCAAAAGTGGCAAAATTTAAAACTATTTAAGAGTGGGAGCACCTTTGAGAGTGTCAGATTTTAAAAAGTTTAATATTATTTACAAATATATTATAAATGAGTAAAGAAAAATCTTGATTAAAAAAAAAAGAGTGAATTGTCAAGAGAACCTCAAGGCATTTCAATGCCTTTGACTTGAATCCCACATATTGACAAAACCAAAAAAAGGAGAGCTCCACATGAATATAAAAGGCTACAACCCTTTCCTCTTTCCTTAAGCTATCTCACGTGCCTTTGCATGTGGTTGCTAGTTGGAAATCCTTTAATTAAGGTGAGTACAGTTGGCGGCTAATTAATGGTGTATAAAATTTTAGTGGTGCAGTCTTTTTTATTATAGTATATTAAAATTTGCGAATTTGTTTGCATGAATTAGCAAATTCAAATAAATGAATTCATGAATTTATTTTGAATTTCCTCCCAACTCACGAATTCACACGCGAAGCTTGAGGGCGGGAGTGTATGTAGATGATTTGTGCGAGTGAAGTTACACTTTCAATGAATACTTCAATAATTTGTAGTCTTACATCCTATATATTGATCCAATATCATTCTATGTTGTTATGAAGTGTTATTTTGCTCGAGTAACCTTTTGTTGTTATAATTTTTGCTTTTAAAGTGTGACAAGAGATTTTGGTAAATTTTTGTAGATGCTCACATATGTTTCGTAACATGACATGTATATATTAAGATAATAATATGGGGTATATTGGAGATTATGTAAGTATTTTTTTATAATATATCGCATATATTTGAAATTATGATTCTCGAATAACAAAATATTCATATTTTAGTTCAGTAACACAGTGCTGCCGCACTATCTATCTATTCTATATGAAGTCACTTAATGTAGTCACACTTTTAATGAACTATTAGTTGAGACACTTTGAAGTTCCACATCTTATATCTTTGAGTCAATATTAATTCGATGTTGTTTTTATAGAGTGTTGTGTTACTTGAGTTACTCTTTATTGTCACATTATCTAGACTAGAGTGTTGTATTGCTTGTGTTTGATCCAAAAATCTATTGTCTAGAACATATATCTTATGCAAAAATTATACCATGTCATAATGGTATTATGGAAAAAATGAGTGATGGACTAGCATGTTAAGCAACACGAATATTGTGTAAAAAAATGAATGAAAGCATAATTTCGAAGCTGATATATAATCAGATCAATGATGTATTGGAGAAAAGAAAAAATGAAAAATGGTTGGAAAAGAAGAAATAAAGTACGTTTGATGTCAAAGATACTAAAAATATAATTCAAAATGGATGATGTTAGAAAGAATAAATGTTATTTTGGCAAAAAATACTGACAAAATATATTTCATCCATAAATTTAAAAAATATTTAATATAATATAACAAATTCAAAACATAAAATAACTGGCATATCTAATATGCATAATTTAAGAAAAGGGCAAAACATCAAAGAAATATATGAAAAATTCAAAATGTGTACCTAGAGACAATAAAGTTAGGAAGATAAAAATTAAATTACTTAACAATATGAACTATGTACTTTAAGACCAATAAATATTATTTCATATATCCCTGGACAATTCTCCATTTTGACAATGTGTTTGCTATCTAAATCGAAAAAGCCTTAGAAAGCCTAACTTCCCGTCAAAAACAAACATGAAGAGTTGTGAAGTAAGGTCCACAGCACTTGGGAATGGGCCTCACTGGTGTTACCTTAAACAAAGCCCAGCTTGTTGTAGGCTTTTGAGGCACCCAAGCCTATCTTCCATTTTACTTTCTTTCGACTAGGGTGCAACAAGTTCATTTTGAGCCTAAAAAATCAAAGAGCATACTTATAGCAAGTTAATTTTGGGATCTAATTAGAGACTCTAATTAATAATATTTTTATATTAAATTCTCAAATTAAGTACAAATAACCTTTTCAAACATCGAATATAGATTTTAATTTCGGACGCTCGACCTCTTTGTGCAATTCTAGTGAATAACAATTGACATGAGCTGAAAAAAGAAATAGGTGTGGTATATCATACATGATTCAAGGAAGCTCAAGAGGTCGTGGACATGTGTCAAGATTACAATTGTTTTTTCATCCCGGGTTTTAATTGTAGCGACTTCTGTTTTTGATTAAGATATTATCTAATTAGATCATTAGATCACAAATTAGGAACATTCGGAAGAGCTCTCTTGCTATTTTAAATGACAATTAATGTTTTGATGCAATAGCACAACATTCCACTAAAACAGACCGAAAAATTCTAATCTGTGCAGAATAGGTGCTCTGTTCAACAATAGCACATATTTGTGCATAATTTCTTGAAGTATCTGCAATCATCCAAGTTTCAAAATACTTTCGGATCAATCCATCAGTTCTTTATGGATCCATCCATGACTTCATGGAGCGATTATCCATCCTCAATGTTTCAACACAAAAGATGATTTTACTAGCTCTCTCGTCTATTCAAAGGTTACATATTGATATTTTTAAACCCAATAGGCACTGTTCAATGAAAAAAAAAATAGACTATAGAAAAACGGTTCAAGTAACTCAATTGGTAAGAGTAACGGATTGAAAATCCTTGTGTTAGTGGTTTGAATCCACTTCTTAGCAGGCGAAAGGGTACAAAGGATAAGTAGACAAAAGCGAGTCAGATTTGAAAATTTAAGTGAAATAGTAAATCAATAAATGGGAACGCTGCTGTGCTATCCACCGCTATTATACTTCAACTAAGTTCTTCAAAATTACAATCTACACCAAATCCCCAACATCCTTACATGACCCCACCAGGAATTTGGCCCTACATTAATATGATATATTACCTATCAAATGCCATGACTTCCCATCACGTGTTGCACTCAATACATCCATGATTAAACTTCCTAAACTCTTTCTCTAATAGGTCAGTTCCATCATTAATGTTCCAATCAAAAACCTACTTAATGATTATCTAATTGAGTATTTGGGATGGGATGTGGACTTACCAAACCCTCAAGCACCATTTGGTGGGTGATTTATATGTCCACTTTGTCTTTTATTCAGCCTCCTCAAGGATAATTTTAATTACGGAGATACATGCAATTACTCGAAAATCACATTTATATGTAGGACACAAATATTACTCGTAAATCACATTCATATGTAAGGCGCAAATATTAGTCCCACCATTATTATCGTAATCATCATAAAATTGATAAGATACTTATGTGAAACAACACTTCAAGGAAAAGCTAGCTTCGGAAGCCTGTCCCAAGCAACAATCAGAAAGGTATCATTAAATCATAACAGAAATTTCAATCACATACCAAGCTGTTTTTCCTCCCCTACAAAGCAAACCAGTAGCTGCTTTAACGTTATCAACACATCTCTCTCTCTCTCTCTCCTGATCCCTCTACCTTAATAAAAAAGAAAAGGTTGCAAAGCTTATGTCGCCACCTTATATAGCACCATTATACCTAACTCCACACTCACTTCCAATCTCACCCCCACTTGATATAAACGACACCGATTCCAGTATTCCCACACCATCTGATCCAATACAGCTCTTCATCTAAGGCCACTCTCCACCGAATCTGCACTTCAAGATTAAAAGATAATGAGGAACCTAATGTCATCTTTCCCTCTTCTGGTGATCTTCTTCATTCATTGCACTTCAATTTCTGCTCAGTCTCCGGCACAGGCACCAGCACTGCCACAGCCACAGGCACCGACACCGCCACTGCCACAGCCACAGGCACCGACACTGCCACAGCCACAGCCACAGGCACCGACACTGCCACCGGCACTGCCACCGCCACAAGTAACGGCACTGGGTCCATCACCAGCAGGTCCAACCAATGTCATCAAAATTTTAGAGAAGGCCGGGGGATATAGTGTATTTATCAAACTACTGAAGAGTACCCAAATAGATTCTCGAATCTACTCACAGCTCAACAATTCAAACATGGGGCTAACCATTTTTGCACCAGCTGATAGTGCATTTTCTAGCCTCAAATCAGGCACACTGAACACATTTACGGCTGGACAGCAATCACAGTTGATACAGTTCCATATCATTCCTTCTTATATCTCTCTTTCGCAGTTCCAAACGTTAAGCAACCCGTTAACTACTCAGGCTGGTGGTAGCAACGAGAATCAGTTTCCGCTAAATATCACCACATCAGGGAGTAGTGTGAACATTTCAACTGGGATTGTCAATGCAACAGTGAACGGCATTGTATATACCGATGGCCAGCTAGCCGTATATCAGGTTGACAAAGTACTCCTTCCGATGTATTTTTACGTGACTCCTGCACCAGCTCCGGCACCATCGAAGCCTAAGAAGGAAGCTCCAGATACTTCTTCCACAGGGTCTTCTGTTGCTTCTGTTAGTACTTCTGGTGCGGTTCAGCAGGCATTGGACGCAATATTCTTTCTTGTTGCTGTTTCTTCTGCATTGTCTTTATACCTATGATTTAAGTGTTTGTTGATAATAATGGGATTGTGAATCCCAAAGCCTGTATGATTTTATTTTATTTTTTGAGTGACAAAGCCTGTATGATTTTTTTTTTCTTGAGTGACAAAGCCTGTACGATTTCAATGAATCAAATTAAATCATTCTTTTGAATAAGCTGCAACGATTCAGAATTAAGAGATTAAATTTGTACAGTCTACGCATGAAATTAATAAAACTGTTTTTTCCACGTCCTGATAAACTTATCAAGATCAATTCAATAATTTGGCCTCGGAGGTCGGTGTTCTCTCAACATTTTTTTTTAATCATTACAGTGTCATTTTCTTCTACTAATGAATTTCCACCATATCTACAAGGACATTTCAAATTAGTGCATGTAAACCAAAGAGCAAATAACTAATATTCCATGAATCTTTGCACTGCCCTGATTTTCTCAGCAAGATGATTGTGGGTTTTCATTTCATAACCACTGTAGAGAGCAACCTGTAATTCACAAATTCAGCTGCAATATCTTGCTGTTCACTATCTAATTTGCATTTGTTACCAATGAATTGACAAGGCATCTGAACTATAATTGTTTGGTGAGGAGTATATATCATTAGGGATGTTCTTCCTTGGGCATAGAAAGGGACACACATTAACAATATTGATAGCACCATGTCATTTATTGAAATTAAATTTTTATTTTTGATTTTATATTAATAAATGACATAATATAACATGAATTTTTGTTGTAAAACTTAAAATATTTAATATTCTATTTTTGATAGGAGTATTTTTTATCTAAATATAATATTTTAAATTTGAGAGGTTTAAATATTACACATATACAAACTTCAAAAGGTTTTGGTCTAATTTACTAATGAATATTCTAACAATATTAATGATAGGGGTCTAAGTGTTACGCGCATATAAATTTTAAGGAGTCTATGTATAATATTTCAAATGTCATGACTTTAAGTAATTAAATGACAAATCTCAAAGAATTTGAGTGTAATTCTCCCTACATATTATAATTTATTTATAGTCATGGGAATAGTAAGTGACATATATAGAGTTGTATAAAGCTTATTCACAATTCCTATTGGAAGAAAATTTCTGTTGGGGTGTTGCCTGAATAGTCATCTCATGTGGATAAGCAAGATTGATATGGTGCTGTCAATATTGTTGATGTGTGTCCCTTTCTATGCCCAAGGAAGAACATCCTCTCTCTAATATTTCTGATGTTGACATAATTAAGAGAACAAAACTAGCCATGTCCAGTAGATTCCACCCCCCCCCCACACACACACACACGATATGAATTGATGAGCAGTTTGATACTCACCAAACAATTATAGTTCAGATGCCTTGTCAATTCATTGGTAACAAATGCAAATTAGATAGTGACGAGCAAGATATTGCAGCTGAGTTAGTGAATTATAGGTTGCTCTCAAAAGTGGTTATGAAATGAAAACCCACAATTATCCTGCTGAAGAAATCAGGGCAGTGCAAAGATTCATGGAATATTAGTTAGTTGCTCTTTGGTTTACATTTGCACTAATTTGAAATGTCCTTGTAGATATGGTGGAAATTCATCAGTAGAAGAAAATGACACTATAATGATTAAAAAAAGAGAAAAAAATATGGATTAAAAACAATAAAATCATACAGCTTGTCACTCAAAAAATAAAATAAAATCATACAGGCTTTGGGATTCACAATCCCATTATTATCAACAAACACTCAAATCATAGGTATAAAGACAATGCAGAAGAAACAGCAACCAGAAAGAATATTGCGTCCAACGCCTGCTGAACCGCACCAGAAGTATTAACAGAAGCAACAGAAGACCCTGTGGAAGAAGTAATTGGAGCCGGCTTCTTGGGCTTCGATGGTGCCGGTGCTGGAGCTGGTGCTGGAGTCACGTAAAAATGCATCGGAAGGAGCACTTTGTCCACCTGATAAACGGCTAGCTGGTTATCGGTATATACAATGCCGGTCACTGTTGCATTTACAATCCCAGTTGTAATGTTCACTTGACTCCCTGATGTGGTGATATTTATCGGAAACTCATTGTCCTTGTTACCACCAGCCTCAGTACTTAACGGGTTGGTCACAGTTTGGAACTGCGAAAAAGAGATAAAAGAAGGAATGATATGGAACTGCGTCAATTGGGTTTGCTGTCCAGCACTGAATGCGTTCAGTGTGCCTGATTTGAGGCCAGAAAAGGCACTATCAGCTGGTGCAAAAATGGTTAGCCCCACGTTTGAATTGTTGAGCTGTGAGTAGATATGAGAATCTACTTCGGTACTCTTTAGTAGTTTGATAAATATACTATATCCCCTGGCCTTCTCTAAAATTGCGGTGACATTGGTTGGAGTACCCGATGGTGCTGGAGCCAGTGCCGTTACTTGTGGCTGTGGCAGTGCTGGTGCCTGTGCTGGTGCCTGTGGCAGTGGCAGTGCCGGTGCCTGTGGCTGTGGCAGTGGCAGTGCTGGTGCCTGTGCCGGAGACTGAGCAGAAATTGGATTGCAATGGATGAAGAACATCACCAGAAGAGGGAAAGATGAGAGCATGGTCCTCATTGTCTTTTAATCTTGGAGTGCTGATTCAGTAGAGAGTGGCCTTAGATGAAGAGTTGTATTGGATGAGATGGTGTGGGAACACTGGAATCGGTGTGGTTTATATCTAGTGTGGATGAGATTGGAAGTGAGGGTAAGTTAGGTAAAATGGTGCTATATAAGGTGGCGACGTAAGCTTCGCAACCTTTTCTTTTTTATTAAGGTAGAGGGATAGGGAGACAGAGAAAGGGAGAGACAGATACGCGTTGATACATTAAATTAGACATAAATAAAATTAAAATTAGTCGTAATTTACTTTTTGTTCATGCTAACTTTAGTTTTAATAAAAAAATATAATTTTTAAAAATATTTATTATTTTTAAATAAAATTATATATAAAAGATCCATCTAGTACGCCTCCCCGCAGGCTCTCCCAATAGGCCTACATGCTTGTACCAACAGGCCCACTCTGCAAGCTCGCCAAGTGAGTGACGGGTTAATTGGCGAGTAGACTACTCTTATCTGAAGGCTGGTCCGACCCACCCAATAACCTATCCGGGTAAAGACTTGAGCTTACCCTACCCATGTCCATCCCAAAAAAATTTTGTTCCCAAACCTTCCGCCCCATAGACATCCCTATGTGTACCCTCTAGTAACAATAAATGGAATAGCAAATATAGAAACTAACATTGAAACAACAAATACATGTAAAAATAATAAAAAAAAATTACATTTCACAATAACTAATACCTCTCATATCCTACCCTTTCATATTCTTCTATTTAATTTTTCTCTAATATTAATTTCAAATTAAATTCATAAATTCACATATATAAATATAAATATCTCTATCTATCTATATCTATATTTATCCTATCCTACTTGTAAAAGACTACTAAACCAAAAAAATAATTTTTTTCATAATCACCTTTCAACAACTGTATAAAGTCAGATTTACGTTAGATTAATTACCTTCAATTATTTGCCCATTTACATTTGGATGTTCCAACTTCTCGGCCTTTAATTAACTCTATTAATAATATTTATAACTTGGTAATTTACTCCCAACTTTTCTAATTTCCACTAAATAACACTAGAGAGAGAGAGAAACTAGAGAGATGCTTGGACATGTATATATAGGCACCAATTTTTATCTGGTTGTCTAATTCCACACTGCACTGTATATCCTTGAATTCAAATAATTATGGTGGCATCTTATACTAGCCGAGCACCTTTTAGAGTATTTCAGGAATGGCTTCATAGTTTGTCGGTTCCCTTGATATGCATGAGAGAATATACAGTAAGTACATTCTCTCTATTTCTCTCTTTTATGTAAAGGTTGTCCATCGTCACTTTAACCATCAAGTTTAATATTTTGTTTTCTTTCTTCCAGTCCAAGTAAGATGTTCTTGTTCGTGTTGTGAAATAGCACTCCTGTATATGGACAAATGTTTCTGTCCTGCTTTACAAAGTTTGTCTTGATCCTAGGTGGACAAATGCACTCTCAACTCGCATATCAAGTGTTGAATCACAAATCATGTTGGTTCAAACTCGTGGCTAATACAAGAACTTGGATTGAATATATGTAATAGATAATTCATGGGAGAGATTAGCTCTAAGTGTGTAGTCAAGTACCAACAGTTTCTGTTTCTTGACCCACCTTTGGTTACACATGTTTTACCACATTTCACTTATTCTTGGTCATGTAGTTATTATTAGTATTAATTAAATTTTTTTTTTGGTAAAACTGAGCCCACTTAATTAGAAATAAGAAGACCCCAATACAATTAAAAAATCCATTTAGAAGACCCCAATATAATTAAAAAATTCATTTAGTTTATCGATTTTGTTAGTTATGTATAGTTTTTAATTCACAATTTTTATTTTGACTTCTTCCTTGATGGTAATTTTTTCATGTGTAAGATTGTTCATGTTTCAAAAAATAAGGAATGGAGAAGGGGAAGGGAGTACAAGCTGGATAGTTGGTTTGATTGCTTTAAGGAGTATGGAAATACAAAGGGTTATACAAAACAAATTTAATTGCATTAGAAATATATATACATTGCTATAGATAATTTGCATTGAATTTTAACAACTCATCTTTTTTCTAAAACAATGAATTGCTTTAGTTTTTAAAAAATTCCTTAGCTTTCTCTAGCACTAGATGTGGACAAATTTAGGACTCATCCCTTATATTTATTCATGGACACTAAATTTGACGATCACTTACTATAGGTAAAACAAATATTGGGACCTTAAATTTTTAAATGAGATAAACACAAGAACAAGTGAAACAAATTTCTTGTCAACTCTAAACTTTAGTATATACAAAGTTAGGTTGGACAACACTGAATATTTCCAAATGGTTATTGAGTTTCTTTAGTCTTGAATCTCTAATACTAATATAGGAATGTTTGTGATATTTAAAAGACCTATACACGATAAAAGCAAACACCTACAAATATAAATCGTAAAAAGATAAATAGAGAAACGAAAGATATAACTCAAAATGATTTACGTTCAACGCACGTGTGCAGCAACTAAATGAAAATTTTTTGATTTTCAAATTTAC